GGTCAGAAACAGAACCCAACGGTCAGAAACAGAACCCAACTGGTCAGAAACAGAACCCAACGGTCAGAAGCAGAACCTAACGGATCAGAAACAGAACCTAACGGGTCAGAAACAGAGCCTAACCGGTCAGAAGCAGAACACTTAAAGCATCTTGTCCTTCTGCACATGTGACATGAACTTTGAGGAGTGCAGCGTTTATTTTCTGACGGATCTCGAGTGTTTAATATTCAGACTGAATCCAGCTGAAGATCCTGACGCCACTGGAATCAGGCAGGGTTCGTCTTTTTGAGGGTCAGAAGTTCACGACCTCAGTGACCCCGTCGGCCCCGCCGGCCCCGTCGGCCCCGCCGGCCCCTGTCACCCTCAAACTGAGTGTTCAGGTCGTTTTGAACGAACGAGAGGATCTGGTTTAACCACGAGGAGAAAACAAGGAAACTGACAAAAAACGAAGCTATGGGAAGAAAAGAAGAGGTAAAAACCGAGGCAGTGACAGCGTGCGTGTGTGTGTGTGTGTGTGTGTGCGTGCGTGCGTGTGTGAGTGTGTGTGCGTGCGTGTGTGTGGCATGAGGATGGAGACAGAAGTGATGAAGTGAAAAGATGAATTGTTGCTGACTTTCAGTGGAAAACTCCCCCGGGGTTCCCACATGAGCTCCACAGACACGTCAAGATGGAGCAGTCTGAAATAAAAAATTAAAAAAATAAAAGTTATATTTCTGAGTTTCACAGAAAATGAGAGAACTGACGCTCGACCTCCTTTTTCTGCTTTCAGATCATATTTGAAGCCGTTTCGGTCCAAGGTCATCCAGGCTTCATCGCCGTCGATGACATCAGAGTTCTGGCTCACCCGTGCCGTAAGTGACGCCCCGGAGAACTCGCCGAGCGCCTTCAGATCCGACAGACGCTTCACTAGACAAACATCAAAGCATCAACTGACGCCGACCGCTTTTGGTTTTTACCTTTTAAACAAAAACGAGCACGACCCTCAGCTACTACCGCTCCAAACGTTAGCTCATTTTCTGTGAAACCGACTGAGCTCTCGCCGTGTTCGTGTTGGTTAACTTTGATTAGCTGTGGCGGCCATCTTGAAGTGGCTTGAACCAGCAGGGAAACAGTGCTAGATGCTCACTGAACGGTTATCTTTTGAAAGTTTTATTAAAATCCATTCAGAGGTTCATGAGATATTTTGCTAACAGACAGGAGTTGTAGCTAAGGTTGCAGTTACCTTTTGGGACGGGGATGACTCTCAGCTACTACTACCCCACACTTAAGCTTGTTATTTGGAAAACTGAGTTGTAGCCATTTCTGTGTTTCTGTCGTTGATTAGCCGTGGCGGCCATCTTTGATTGGATCGACTCCTGACGTTCATCTTCTGTAGATACACGACCAAAAGTCATGTTTGTAGAGTTTCTTTAATCTTCACCCCGTGGTTCACGAGTTTCAGTTTAACAGACAATGTCGTGCACGTAGGCTCAGGCGCGTGACAGTAGGTGATGATAGGTTAATAACTGGATACATTTAGTTTAGTAGTTAGGGGGAGTGGTGGAGCAGAGGTTAGAAGACGGGCCTGTGATTGGAAAGTCGCAGGTTCAACTCCCGGTACCGTCAACATCAAAATGTGGGTGGAAAAGGTGGAACACCCACACCTGTCTCCACCCTCATTGGCTCCACTCCGGGCCCCTGAGCAAGGCACTCAACCCCCACCATCTGCTCCCAAACAGGTCCCTCTTGAAAATGAGTTCTCGTGACTCAGTGAGTCTACCTGGATAAATAACGGGTAAATTAAAAATAAAAAAGTTTCACGCTTCATATTTTTAAAATAAAAAATGTGGTTATTTTATATTGCAAATATTTTTTGATTCAAAATCTTTTTTGTGCCTGAGAGGTGATCAGTCAGAGAGAAATACAGCGGTAGGTAGAAAACAAATAAAAAATAACTATATGGAGGAGATCCAAAAAAGTTCAATCTGGTCCTCTGGACATTCAAAAAAACAAAAAATAAAACAAAACAAAAATGTAGAAACGTTTCGTTTCTCATCCTGAGGACTTCCTCAGTCTGAGGTGCTGTATTCAGCTCAGTCTCTTAAATAGCACCTTCACAGGGTGGATCAACCAGTTTGCTGCTGACAACCAGAACCAGCTGCTCACATGCTCAAGAAGGACCATCAGCCTAACAATGGATCATTAGCACCTGATGGCTGTTTACTGTTCACAGAGGGCTGAGTGATACTAGCAATCACAGCATTGTAAGAGGGGGACAGTTGAACCCGGAGGCTCCACCCCTGTTTAATGATGGACGGTTTCTTTTCACAAAGATGGCCTCCTTTACTCCTCTCTCAAACCATCGTTCCTCTCTGTCCAGGATGTGAACATCTTCATCCCTGAAAGAGTGACCGCTGGCCTGGAGATGAGTGTAGACCTCAGAGTCCTGGCCTGATGATGTTGATCTTCTGTGCAAAACAAATAAAAAATAACTATATGGAGGAGAACGATCATTTCTGAAAGATTTTAAGAAACTCAGAGTTACTAACGATCGTTTGATGAGAGATCTGTTCATCGTCCGCTGGCGTCGACTTCTGCACACGCTGAAATGAACCAGTCAGAGCCTGTCTCACTGCCAGACCAATGTCACCTGGCACCTGTCTGTCTGTCTGTTTGTCTGCCTGCCTGTCTGTCTGTCAGCCTGTCTGTCAGCCTGTCTGTCTGTCTGTC